CCGAAACGTCGTGAGAATATTATTGTGTTATTTTATTTTATCAATTTATTATTTTATTCTCATTCTACGTGACTTTACCGAAAGAACCAAAGAAGATCTAGATGTATATTTGTTTGGCTCTAGATTTATATTTGTTTGGCTCTAGATTTATATTTGTTTGGCTCTAGATGTATATTTGTTTAGCTCTAGATTTATATTTGTTTGGCTAATCAATACATTTCCACGCGCTGATAGGGCCAACTTTGGTGAGCTATCATTCGCGATAGCCCATGGTTGCTTCTGAAAAAAAGAGCCGTACAGCTCAGCGGGCCTTACCTGGCAAAACGTTAAAAAGAAAAATCGTTTACTGGTTTAGGTTTTGGATGCTAACCGTGGTCGGTTATCAAACTCAGGTGTGGGAACCTGTCGGGGCCTCGCAGCGCATGAACCAGAGCTGGCCCCGCTATCACCTTCCCACCTCCCCTCCCCCCCACATCCCCTAACCGCGCACGAACGATCCACTCCCCTCCTCCGCAGGGCTCTCGGATGAAATTCAAACAAGCAACGGCACCTGTGAAAACGTGGCGCGCACAAAAGAGGGAAAATAAACAAACCCCGCCTCGTTTGTTTACATCGCACGCAAGACGCCCCCCCCCCCTCCCCCCGTCAGCAGTAGCCACCACCTCCGCCTCTCACAAAAATTCACCCCCATCCGCCCACTCACTCCCTCGCTCCCTCCCGGTCGCGTGTTTGTCAATAAATATGAGCATCTTCAAGCCACTGCAAAAAGACAAAGATCTCCCGTGTAGCCTTAACAGACTGTTGGGGCAAGTGCTGTTAGCGAGCACCCTACGAAGGCCAGAACGGCACATGAGGGGGTGGGTGGCCGGCACCACGCCCGGCCGCCTTTGTCTCCCCGGTGGCGATGTTTACACACCGCACCAGGTACTCATTTGAGGCTGAGTTGACTTAGGGGATGCCCAGGACCGGTTCAGACATACACACACACACAGACACACAAGGGCCGCTGTGTATTCTGGCGAGCACCTGTGAGGGAATATCGGCAAAACACACGATGGGCTCTCGAGTGCTCACTTAAGTGCTGTGAAGAAGGGCTTTTGCTCGAAACGTCGCCTATTACAAACCCTGTTTTTCTTTGTAAGGCCACGGCGTTATTGACTAAATGAGTTTGTTGTTGTTGTTTGTGCACAACTGTCAGCGCAGTCCGATCAAAATAATATTGCATTTTGTAGCGCAAATCGACTATTGTGGGGGTAGGGTTTGCAGCCAAGTGCCAAGTTAAGACGGGAACTCATTTAAGGCCAAATCGACCTATGGGAGGCCCAGAGAGCAAGTTCCAATATCACTCGGCACCTGGCGATGTAAATTGCGGCCAAGAATCAATTCTCAAGAAGCCTCCTTTGCGAAACGCCGTGCAGTAAATTGAGACTCGTTGTTTGTGGACGGACAGATTTACGAGACACGTGAGGGACGCCGCGATGTCGGGATGTTAACTACCTCGCCTGGTATACAGAAGGTCGTGGGTTCGATCCCAACCCTGACGCCTGCTGCTGTATACTTGGGAGTTTGCGTGTCTCTCTCTCTCTCTCATCATCATCACGGTGACTAAAAAATGTTAACTACCTCGCCTGGTCTACAGGAGGTCGTGGGTTTGATCCCAACCCTGACGCCTGCTGCTGTATATTTGGAGTTTGCGTCTCTCTCTCTCATCATCATCACGGTGACTAGATGTTAACTACCTCGCCTGGTCTACAGGAGGTCGTGGGTTTGATCCCAACCCTGACGATGCCTGCTGCTGTATATTTGGAGTTTGCGTGTCTCTCTCTCTCATCATCACGGTCACTAGGAGATGTTAACTACCTCGCCTGGTCTACAGGAGGTCGTGGGTTTGATCCCGACCCTGACGATGCCTGCTGCTGCTGTATATTTGGAGTCTGTGTCTCTCTCTCATCATCACAGTGGAGATGTTACCTACCTCGCCTGGTATACAGGAGGTCGTGGGTTTGATCCCGACCCGTGATGATGCCTGCTGCTGTATATTTGGAGTCTGCGTCTCTCTCTCTCATCATCACGGTGGTGAGCTGTTAACTACCTCGCCTGGTATACAGGAGGTCGTGGATTTGATCCCGACCCTGGCGCCTGCTGCTGTATATTTGGAGTTTGCGTGTCTCTCTCCCCGTGGTCGCGTGGAATTCTCTCCGCGTCCTCCGGTTTTTCCCTCCACATTTAGAAACGTGCATTTAGAGAATTTGGCTGCTATGCATTGCCACGTGATAAGGCCACTTCGTTAAGCTATCATTTGTGATAGCCAGGTCGCTTCTGAAAAAAGAGCTATATAGCACAGTGGGCCTTACCTGTTAAAATAAAAGCAAATCGTTTGTAATAGTTGTTTATATTCATAACATAGGTTTTTTGTTTGTTAAATCACGTAAATGTGTGTCGTTAAACCCGCCTCTACCCGACAGCCAATTAGTAAGGTTTGTCACATAAACAGAACATGCCAATTCGGGTTTAACGACACATTTATAGTTACGCGATCTAAGCCATGTTATGGATGATACTGGTCGCGAAAGCCTACGTGTTAAGTTGTTTATATTGTCTGCTTATCTATTTCCTTAATAATTAATAAACACACGTGGAATTCCGTCGAGTTAATCGCAATATTTAAAGTGTAGATCGTCTCGTGCGCAAGGCGCCGGGCGGATTTGGTCACATCCATGAGGATCGGTAAGGGAGTGGGCGAGCGGCTTTGGGGAGGCATTCATATCCAGCAGCGGACTGACCATGGCCGATGGCCTATGAAAGGATCGCCCTGGATCACAGAAATCACTGCACTACCACCACCAGTAAGAGAGCTGAAACATGAGAGCTATTTGTATCGAATTTTTTTGGATACACAACCCCCACCTCCCGTATTATCGAGCATCAAATCTGCAGAGGACGAGGAAATCCATCACCTCAGTGAGCAATGTATGCACACACACACACACGTGGCGTTAAAAAATGATACAAATATCTATCCTCGCTATATCCCCCCCCCCCCAAACACTCCGGTAGTAATGCGTCAAGTGAAATGTTTAGCATTGAGATATTAATCCAGGGGGCTTCAAAGGGACATTCAAAACATCTTCCTGCCGCTTTCATTGCGTCGTGCTGTTGTCGCGGCTATCACAGTGACGGTACGTCAACTCGGACGGGAACACCGCGCGAATTCAAATGCATTGCTGGAAGATGTTACGGAGTGCCATTTTCAGCCCAGGTTACATTGGGGAGGGGGACGGGTTTTATATTTTTTTAAACGCCGCGGTGTGAGCGGTGGTGCATGCAGCGGTTGGCACTCCGAAACCCGAGTTCCATTCCCAGCCGCAGTTTTAAAGAGGTTGGTCGTGGAGAGCTGAACGCAATCGCCGCCCATACACCCTCACCATCCTGCACTGGAGCCCGCGTGGTGAAGTATGGTTATAACCCCGACCCGCAGCATGAACGTCCAAGCGCTGGATTGGCACGACGGTTGTGAATTACCGATGTCGTTTTTTTTTTATATTTTTCCAAAGGCTCCGCTATTACAAAATTCCTAAATGAATCTGACGCGCGTAACTTACGACGCGTTTGGTGACACCGTGAATATTACTGTTTGACATCGGGGCCCTATGTGCGCTCTCCGATTGGCATGGTGGGTCACGTACGGTGCGAAAGAAGAGCGTACATATCAATAGCCTCCTTGTACCGCTTGCACCCCCCGTTGCGTGCATAATGAACACCGCAAGGTGGCCGTGTTAATAACAGCGCTCATAATGACCACGTCTCTCCTCCCAATATAAAATACCACTTCATGGTTACCTGCCACGGTTCAAAGGAACAAAATATTTGATGAGGAAACACAATAACAGTAATCATCGTTCTTGTTACCACTACCATCATTATCATTATATATATATTTTTTTAAATCCCTGCACGTTTATCCAAGTTAAATCTGGGTACGCGTCTTATCATGGAAGTGTTTGGGTGATCGCGCAAAGCACGTGGCCTGACATGGAAGGACACAAAAGAAACATGTTAATAACTGGAGTGACAATATTTCTTCAAGAGACGGATTATTAACGCCGTCATGTTTTACGCAGCTGCCAGAGGTTAATGTCATTCTTGAGAAGTGCACTGGAAAATGGGGAGAATTCTTTAAAAAAAAAAAGGTCTGAGAGTCTGAACAACAACAAAACGAGACAACGTAGAGTTAACAGAAAAATAAATTCCATAAAAAGTGGACAAAAGTTGAAGAAAGCACGCGCGACTCCCAAGCTCCCCTCTCACGTCTCAACCACGCTCTAGAAGTCGGAGAGAGAGATGTTACCGGTGACGATGCAGAAACGTGCGCAACGATGAGCGGGGTTCGTGTTCCTGGGATGAAATCCCGAGGAGGACATCGATGAAACTTTTTTTTTCCTCTTTCCCCCGGTCTCGGTTTTTTTTTGTACCGATTTTGTTGGCTCCATTGGGCCTCGTATCACGAGCAAATGGCGTGTGAATGTGTTGCATAACGAATAAATAATCGACTCGCACACGCGCGTGGTCCAATGCGTGCGGTTGCCAGCGTACGAATCGGTTTCAATGGATAAGGCGACGCATCGTCACATCCTAAACTAAACTATTTTTTATTTTACCAGGTAAGGCCCGCGGAGCTAAATAGCTCTTTTTCAGAAGCGATCTGGCCACGCATAATGATGGCTCAACAAGGTGGCTTATCATCACAGTGGGAAATTTATAGCAGCCAAATACTCTTAAAACACGTTTCCAAATGTCGATTGACCACGGGGAGAGAGACATGCAAACTCCAAATATTCCCGGCGTCAGGGTCTCTGGATCGAACTCACGACCTCGTGTATACGAGGCGAGGTCGTTAACATTTCATAACTACCACGGCGCCCAACGATAACAAGCTCGACTCGATTGTGTTTCTGCGATGACGGAGCGTTGACTACAGACACGAGGGCTGCCCCATTTTAACCACGATTCACATTCCATCAACTTTATTACAACAATCGACAAGACTACTCTCACAATTTTACACTAACACAACTCTAAATAAAATGCAGGTGGAACAAACAAACAAACAAACAAAATGGACGGTCGTTTTTGGCAATGGTTTATACACGTAGATTGCACAGGTATTAAAGAGCTTATAGGTACAATTCTAATTTTCTTTTTTTAAAAAATTAACCACGGAACATCATCCTGCCATGTATTCCCAAAACGCAGTATTGCATAAATAGATGTACACGTGTGTCAACAAAGCTCCCAGGTAAGCGCGGGTGCCTTGAAGCAGCCGACTTGACATTTGGCAAAAAAAAGGCAACTTGGCGGTGGGCCGATGGGCAGTAATCGAGAGCACCACGCTGGCACGATCACTCCGGGCAGCATTGCTCTTGCCGTGGGGTGACCGACGGCTTCCTCAACACGCGGCGCTAGAGGGACATCAGAACGAGCTGCTTACGACGCCGCGCGCGAATAACTCCCCCCGGTTAATCCTGCCCCAACATCAGAAATGTTACGCCCACAACGCTTTTCCAACACTTCCACCCCCACCCCCCCCCAACCCACTAACATTCTCCTACCCCTCCCCCCTTCCTTTCTCCCGTCTATCTCGAGCTCGATCTTTAGTTTCACGGCTAGGGAGCACGCGATGATTCCGCTCGGGTTCGCCGATCACCGAGACGATGTGTACCCACGGTCTCGGCGTCTCTATGTATTTTTGGTGTTTAAACAAATATAAATAAAAAAATAATCTCCTGCCTTAACCAGACGATGCTCGTGTGTAAAGTCGGGGTGGTAACAAACAAAACATTTTTAATATTGCTTCTCATTTAACCGATAAATGTCAGGCTTTGTAATGTCATGGTTGTGGTTTGATTGAGAGGGTAAACAATCACATTATCGCATGGCTTCTCAAATTCCAGTCCAGCCGACCAACCATAACGCGGCCATTCATTGTTTACCAAACATCAGACGCGTGCAATGTGCACGACACGATTTATCATTCACGTATCTTTAAAAAAAAAGCCTAAACGAGTACACACAGAGAGGGTTTCACAAATTCCACTTGATGCACTTCCATCTCCTGTCCACCTCACGATTGGCAAGTTTGGCAGTTCACCAATCTCGACGCGGCGAAACCAAAAGCCTCCCCCCCTCCACAGCGCCGCGCGACAAATTAACAACAAGAGCCGGCCATGCCGGGCGGTGAATACACGGTGCTTTGGAGACCTTTGGTCCCTGCAACGTTTGTAAAAGTAACAAAAAACTTAAAGACGCAATCCACAAATACCATTGCGTAAGGTTTAAGTGGTTGCGCTGTAAGGCGGGTTAGCGCTTACGAACACGGCGACCAGAGTTCGATTCCCGCTCAAGCCCAACATCTGATTATTTGAACCGGTCCTGGGCCCCACACTAGGTCGACTCAGCCTCAAATGAGTGCCTGGTGCGGTGTGTAAAACATCGAAACTAGGGAGACAAAGGCGGTCGGGCGTGGTTTTGGCTACCCACCCCCTCGTGCATCGTGCCAGCCTTCACAAGTCCTCGCCAAAAGCACTTTTCGCCCTAAACGAGGGGGGGGGGGGGTGGGGGGGGTGGGCGATCTTTTGTCTTTGCTGTATAGCCCTCCGAATCTGTTAGCGGGTTATACAGCAATGCTGTTCGGCACGGTGTACGACGTTCCGCTTCCAGCACGTGGGACGCCATGCCGAACAACACGCGCTGTGCAGCCCGAACAAACGCGCCAGGCATAGAGCAGCAAATCCGTGAGGCTTCATTGCCCCCAGGTGGATTCCGAGAGCATTGTTCGCATTTTTACCGACCAGCAACCACGAGGAACGCGTTAACCACCCGCAGCCCGTGTTTTCTTAAAAGGTCATTTAGTTGTGGCTAAGGCTGGCCCCAATTTTGTTCGCGCATTGAACCCGAAACAAGTATTTGGCACATCTCTATAAACTGGTTCAAAATTCTGTTTCTTGTTGCTGCAATACGAAGCATATCTTTTGAAAAGTTAAAGCAAAACTAAAAAAAAAATATCCCTCCGTTTTGCATATTAAGGAAAAAGATTTTTTTTGGTTCGTAGCTATAGATCAATAACGTCGGATATTCATAACTCGGCAAGGTCACCGGCATGGAGTGTTGCGATCTCATGCCGGGCGGTGCTGGGATTTTTTTCTGTGAGCAGCACATTCCTTCCCCCCCCCACCTCAACAAGTTTGGCTTCTTTGGTGAACCGTCGCAAATTTTCGGAGGTGAGGATCGATCCATTGGTAACTTGGGTGGACAATTTGTGTTTTAGCGATGGACTCGTCGGTGACGCCCTGTGGAATTTTAGGTGGAGACTGAAAAGTTTGCGGATTTCGTCCGAGTCATTCTCTTAGTCTGGTCCACTAGAGCAGGCAAGCAGTCGAAGAGTCGCACGCTCTGACTTTAGAAACGTTGCTATGAGGGGCGTGCAAATTCCACCCCCCCACCCTCCCCTCCTCAAAATAATCGGATCAGCCAATCGGCGAACTTGATACATCTTTTACTATAAATATATAACCAATTTACCAGCTTTGGTCAATGCATTTGCAGTCTCTTCTTCCTCTTTCATACAGCTGACGTAGATGCAGAGCAACGACTAGAATTTCACATTCAGGCGATGAAGCCAGGTAACCGCGGAGTAGTGTATCATCGCTGCGACGTCTCCCTCGTGATTGTCGATCGGGGCGTTACGTCGTTATACGGCCTGTTCTGGATGAACACAGTCACACACTAGATAATTAAACTTGATAACATCTTTTCCTATACATATATCCAATTAGCAGGTTTGGTCAACGCACCGCCGTCTCTTGATATCGTCACTAAAGTATCTCGGCCCGAGTCCTCGTTGAGACTCTGCCGATGGCGTCACCGTCCGTCCACGCTTTGGCGAGCGGCGTCGTAGCCGCCGCCATCGTCGTGATCGGCCGTCGACATCATCGTCGTTACCGTCAATTTTGTTAACTTAACACGGGGATCGATCGCGAGCAATTAGTTACCGGTGAGAAACCACATCGCTCACGGGGGGGGGGGCAGGTGTTTAACCGGCGCTGTTTCACACCGGCTTCACGCTACTAAAAAGGCCGCATCGCATGGTGGAATGTAGAAAGTATTTTTCTAAAAAATTAAAAGGCACGTGTTGCCACTTGTCCCCAAAGTCCCTTTTTTATTTTGTACAAGACGCAGCTTGGCAAAACAGTAGCCAAATGCAGAGTTTGTTAAGCTATCAAATAGTTTAAAGTAAAGAAAGTAATTAAGGAGTATTATATATATGCGCGCATTGTGTTAAGATCAAAGGTTTGTGCTCATTAAGCCGTTAGTTTAAGTGAAAATAAAGAGTGCATCTTAAATTAATTCATTTACAGTTAATTGCTTTCGCAACAGAACAGCCGCAGTCTCCCACTACACACGCGCGCACAGCTAAACTTTTACAGTTAAACAACAAAGAAATCGGGGAAAAGTTCAAGTGCATGAGTTAAGAACTACATATCAGAAGATGTTGGGTATTTCTATTTTTTACAAATTGGAAAATATATTTAAAAAAAAACATGGCGTGAAACCTGTAACAGATACACTGCATCAACAAATAGCATGAGAATACGCGTGGTTCACAGAGCCCTTCACTGCTCCGTCACGACTCTCAACGCCAACGACGGACGATGGCCGAAGCTTGCTCTGCCCGATCGTTGTGCCAGCCCGGTTAGCTATGCCCAGCCACGAGAGTCGTTGTCAGCCTCACCAAGAACTTGGCCGAGCACAGGGGTCGGAAAACCAAAACAACAACAACAACAAGAGATTTTCTTTTTCAGAATTCGGTAACATAAGAGCCGCCCATGCGTTTGAATAACGTCACGCAGGCAGGTCCCTTCAAAGAGAGCCGCAACGCGGCTTACCGGAACCCGCAGGGGCTTGCAGACCCCCCTTGGCCCAGAGTGTGTCGTGACTTCACAGTAGCAGAGTTTTGTTTCATTATTTGGCACCGTTTTCTCTGCACACTCGCTGGGTGTCCGCCGAATGCTGCCGTTCAAGCTTCGGTCCCCTTCCCACTCTCTAGTTGTTGTGGCTCTCCCGAACGATTTTGCGGTCACGATTTCTCTCCCCGCCCCCCCCCCCCACATCGGTCGGATGCAACGGGTAGTCCGAACGAAAGAACGACTTAAAACAACGGGGTCACGTGGACTCCTCCTCTCCTCTTTCCGTCGCACCCAAAAAAAAACCCATCTGCCGTTCCCCCAAATCACGCAGGGGGGGCACTTTGGGAAAAAAAGACGGCGCTGAAAAACTCCGCAAAATGCAACCACAGCAAAGACACATTTCAGCAACAAGACGATGAACACTTCAGCAGACTCAGCTTCCGACCCGCATGGATCTGCGACCGTAATGTCAGACATTAAGTGCGCGTGCGCTACGCGGACTGACTGTGCACACGCACCGCGGCCCCCGCCCCACCCCCCACCTCTTGCAGCAGAGAGGAGCGTTCTCACTCCCAATTTTCATTTCACATTGTCACCCGAGTCTCAAGCCTCTGCATTATCAGGAGGCGCTAGCTTAAGAGGATGTATGGCTCATTCCTATTTTGTTTTTTAAGGAGTGTTTTGGTATTGCGGGAGAGAAAAAAATGGAGCACCCGGAGGAAAAAACCACCATTGCATTCGACGAAGGGATGGGCACTCCCAAGGTCCACACAGATGGGTACTGTTGTCTTCTTGACCACCTACCCAGCCCAGCAGGAACGTAAGTCCCACAAGTCTACTGTCCACGACAATTCTGCAGGACACCACACCAACTCCCACTCCCCCTCCGAAGCGCTGGACCGCACGCACACAAGGTCTTCAGCCATCCTTCGTTTTCTGCCGAAGGTTCCTTTGGCCTTTCGGCGGCAGGCAGCCAGGCCCTTACCGGTCGCGTCCGCGACCCGCAAAAGACCTCCGCTACCCGGCGATTGATCGGTCTCGTCCGTCCCTGCCCATCGACCCATCCGTCGGTCGATCACAGCTTGCCCGCCCGCCCGCCCGCCCGCCCGCGTACGTGTCGGCAGGCCAACATTGAGAAGGGCGCCTCACAGCACGGTGACCCTGCTGCTGAGGCCCGAGAGGTCGGGGTCGTCGAGGTCGGAGTCGGCCTGGCTGGGCCCCGGGATGAGGTGCTGCGGGTAGGCGAGCTGGCGCTCGCGTGCGTACTGCTCCCAGCGCGCGTCATCACTCCCGTGCGTCAGGTAGCGCTCGCCGTATTTCGTCTCGAGCTCGCGCAGGTCCAGCCACGTGTGGAAATCCTGAGGGGTCGGAGGAGGGGCGCCACAGCGGCGAGATGTTAACTACCTCGCCTGGTATTCAAGAGGTCGTGGGTTCGATCCCGACCACGACGCCTGCTGTATATTTGGAGTTTGAGTGTCTCTCTCCCCGTGGATTCTCCAGGTCCTCCGGTTTTCCCCTCCACATTTAGAAAGACGCGTTTAGACCATTTGGCTGCTGTACATTTCCACTTGATAAGCCCCTTGGTTGAGCTATCATTTGTGGCCAGTTCGCTTCTGAAAAAGAGCTATTTAAGCTCAGTGGGCCTTACCTGGTAAAATAAAAAAAAATTATTTCGTTTTAGTTTAGACGTTGGGACAAGAGGCAAGGACATTTGGTTTCAGTGCCATTATTATTCTAGCACGTCAGGCTCCAACGAAGGGGCCTTGTGTAAGCCAGATGGAACATCTCCAAGGAGTGTATTGCAGAACTGGCTAATGGAGGCGAGGGGAGGTAGATCGTGTCAAGTGCCAGGGTGGGTGCCAATTAACACGGAGCACACACCTCAACATCCAGATCAGGGGTGTCCTCAAACAAGTTGACGTAACCCATGGCACCTGGATATCACATGGTAAGTAATTGTCAGAAGTCACGCACGTGTGTGTGTGTGTTGTGTAGTGGTTAGACAACTGCGTATGAACCCGGCAGAGATCCGAGTTCGATTCCCGCTCGTGACCAACACCAGTGACGATTATCTGAATCTGTCCTGGGCCTCCCCTAGGCCAACTCAGCCTCAAATGAGTACTTGGTGCGGTGTGTAAACATCGCCACTGGGTGAGACAAAGGCGGTCGGGCGTGGTGCTGGCCACCCACCCCTTCGTATGCCGTGCCGGCCTTCATAGGTGCTCGCTAAGAGCACTTGCCCCAACAGTCTGTTAAGTCATGGATTACGGAGCGTGCAGCCAGCTGGCGAATGAACGGAGCCCCCCATCCTGCGTACCTGAAGCCAAGGATGGCTGAGCGACTTGTCCACGCTGTAGCGCTTGCGCATCTTCACCTGCAGCAGGTTGTTGATGAGGTCGATGGCTGCAACGGGAAAGCGGAAACCAACAAACAATGCGATGAGTTTCACCCGGAGGCGGTACGCTTTCAATTTTTATTATTTTTCTAAACCCTAATCCGTCAAAACTGCACCGACTCGTGCGGTGGACTTTGCCGCCGCATTAACGTGGGCGGCGTGACCACACGTCACCGCCTGTGTGAGATGTCGTGGAATCGCCGTGGCCACCCTGTGGCTACGTATGGTGTGAAAGAAGTTCAACATGCATGCGTACATACTAGACTGGGAATATGGAAAGAAGTGGCGAACGGCGATTGTTGCTATCGTTGAGTGCGTGCGTGAGTGCACGTGCATACTACACCAAAAGTAAACGTTTTATTTTACCAAGTAAGGCCCACTGAGCTATACAGCTCTTTTTCAGAAGCGATCCGCGTACAAATGACACCTCAACCAGGTGGCTTACCACGTGGAAATGTATAGCTGCCAAATAATCTAAACGCGTGATGTTGATTCCAAACGTGGAGGAAAACAACCGAATGACCCGGAGAAAAATCCACTCGACCACGGGGACAGAACCCACGACCTCCTGCGTAACGAGCGGCATCCAAGTACCGTCAACGGACGTCTCTCGCCAGGGGTTGGCCGGGTACATGAAGGCGGCGTTCTGGATCTGCTCGTTGATATCCTCGTCCTCGTTGAAGGGGAAGGTGCCGCTGAGGCTCACGTAGACGATGACGCCCACCGACCACATGTCGAGCGAGCGGTTGTAGCCCTGCTTGCTTCGCAGCACCTCGGGCGCCAGGTAGGCCGGCGTGCCCACCACCGAGCGGCGGAACGACTTCTCGCCGATGATCCGCGCGAAGCCGAAGTCGCAGAGCTTCACCTGCCGGCGCGGAAAGAGGAGCAGGGGGGAGGTGGAGGAGCAGCAGGAAGAGGAGCAGAAGGAAGAGGAGCAGGAGGAGGAGGAGCAGGTGGAGCATGAGGAGTAGGAGGAAGAGGAATAGGAAGGGGAGCAGGAGGAAGGGGAGGAGCAGGAGGAGCAGGAAGAAGAGAAGCAGGAGGAAGAGGAGAAGGAGCAGGAGGAGCAGGAGGAAGAGGAGCAGGAAGAAGACGAGGAGGAAGAAGAGGAGGAAGAGCAACAGGATGAGCAGAAGCAGGAGGAGGAGCAGGAGGAGGAGCAGAAGGAAGAGGAGCAGAAGGAGGAGGAGCAGGAGGAAGAGCAGAAGCAGGAGGAGAAACAGGAGGAGAAGCAGGAGGAGAAGCAGGAGGAGGAGCAGGAGGAAGAGGAGGAGCAGCAGGAGGAGCAGGAAGAGGATGACATGTGTGTACAACAACACCCAGCTCAAATGACGCCCAGTTCCCATGTGCACCGCTGTGAGAGGGCGGTGGGGTGCGTGAAGAGATGGCTCACTTGCGGGAAGGGTTCAGGGGAAGCCAGCAGCACATTCTCCGGCTTCAGGTCGCAGTGGACGATGTGCTTGGAGTGCAGGTGCTTCAGCGCAATGAGGATCTTTTGCACAGAATGAACAAATAAACGGTCGACGTCTCATTGATCCGGCAGTAAAAAAACATTGAGGGGTGGGGGTCAGGAAAAACTCGATAACCCACGTATAGAGTTTTAAGAACATCCATGGTAGCTTCATTGGAACACATACAATAAATGTTGTATCAGTATTCCATTATGACACTCTTCAGCATTATAGATTAATGAGAATAATTTCCAGGTTGGGTAAATAGGGTAGTGGATTGGGCGAGGCAGAGACTGTAGGAGGAAAACACAGATTAAGAACACAGATTAAGAAACTGCTTTTCGCACGTGCCTGCACATGTGCGTGTGTGGGGAGCGGTGGCGCACTACGCTACGAACACGGAGACCCACGCTCGATTCCCGCTCACAAACACCGGTGACGGTTATCTAAACCTGTCCTGGGCCTCCCCCCCTAGGTCGACTCGGCCTCCAATGAGTACCTGGTGCGGTGTGTAAACATCACCACTGCAGAGACAAAGGTGGCGGGGCCGTGGTGCTGGCCACACACACCCCTTCGTGTGCCACATTGCCGGCCGTCATAGGTGCTACTCGCTAACAGCACTTGCCCCCCCCAGTTGGGGCACAACGCGCCCCCCCCCCCTTCTCCTTCTGTCTCCCCACCCCCTATATACAGCTGGGTCGCATCGGGACGGTTCTCTACAACCGTTGACTCTCGGACTTGCGAGTTGTGCGACAGGCTGCAGCAACAACAAAAAACAGCACTTTCCCCAAAAGTCTGTCAAGGCTATACGGGGGTGGGGGGGAATCTTTGCCTTTTGTCTTGTGCGGGAGTGACAGCTGCACACGTGTGCAACGGCGAGGCACAACTACGACACGAGGAACGGCGAGGTCACAACTACAACACGAGGAACGGCGAGGTCACACCTACAACACGAGGAACAGCGAGGTCACACCTACGACACGAGGAACAGCGAGGTCACACCTGTGACACGAGGAACAGCGAGGTCACACCTACAACACGAGGAACAGCGAGGTCACACCTACGACACGAGGAACAGCGAGGTCACACCTACAACACGAGGAACAGCGAGGTCACACCTACAACACGAGGAACAGCGAGGTCACACCTACAACACGAGGAACAGCGAGGTCACACCTACGACACGAGGAACAGCGAGGTCACACCTGCGACACGAGGAACAGCGAGGTCACACCTACAACACGAGGAACAGCGAGGTCACACCTACAACACGAGGAACAGCGAGGTCACACCTACAACACGAGGAACGGCGAGGTCACACCTGCGACACGAGGAACAGCGAGGTCACACCTACAACACGAGGAACAGCGAGGTCACACCTACAACACGAGGAACAGCGAGGTCACACCTGCGACACGAGGAACGGCGAGGCACACCTGCGACACGAGGAACAGCGAGGTCACACCTACAACACGAGGAACGGCGAGGTCACACCTACGACACGAGGAACAGCGAGGTCACACCTACAACACGAGGAACGGCGAGGTCACACCTACGACACGAGGAACAGCGAGGTCACACCTGCGACACGAGGAACAGCGAGGTCACACCTACGACACGAGGAACAGCGAGGTCACACCTACAACACGAGGAACAGCGAGGTCACACCTACAACACGAGGAACAGCGAGGTCACACCTGCGACACGAGGAACAGCGAGGTCACACCTACGACACGAGGAACAGCGAGGTCACACCTACGACACGAGGAACAGCGAGGTCACACCTACAACACGAGGAACAGCGAGGTCACACCTACAACACGAGGAACAGCGAGGTCACACCTACAACACGAGGAACAGCGAGGTCACACCTACGACACGAGGAACAGCGAGGTCACACCTACGACACGAGGAACAGCGAGGTCACACCTGTGACACGAGGAACAGCGAGGTCACACCTACAACACGAGGAACAGCGAGGTCACACCTACGACACGAGGAACAGCGAGGTCACACCTGCGACACGAGGAACAGCGAGGTCACACCTGTGACACGAGGAACAGCGAGGTCACACCTGCGACACGAGGAACTTGGTGTTGCGCTCCGGCAGACGGCCGTGCTCGCTCGACAGGATCATCTCGAGCATGTCTCCGTGCAGCTTCTCCATGACCACGAAGACGCGCTCCAGCGTCTCAAACATGCTCTGCAGGTACACGACGCCCGGGTGGTGCAGCCTCTGTTGCGGTCGGAACAAAACACGCGACGTTGATATATATTTATGTTATTCAAATCAAGTTCAGTTCGGTTTCAGTTCAGTTTATTTTCACGTACCCAGTGAGCCGGGAAGCTCTTAAATCGTGTTTCATCACCAAAAAACAACACCGCCACCGCTTCTCCGACAAACGCAACAAGTCAGAGTAATTTTTTTTTTTTAAACAATCACGGATAAGAGAAAGAAAATTGCTAGCATATCATAATAGCAATAATAAAAAAAATCTCTTTTTTTTAGAAAATTAAGTTAAATATAGATTATCAAAGAAAAACCACGCTGTATCTAAAAAAAAAAATTAAATCTGCCATCGTAATTATAATGCAGGTACAGCCTCAAACACTATGGCATTATAGTGAGAAATTTAAAAAAACACTGCATCCATAAAAAAAAACCTAATGTAAACAATGCACAAAAAGTGGTCGCTTACAGGCAAATCATATTTATACCTCATCTAAATCTTCATCGATTTATGTTTGCGAACGTTTTTTCTATATTTTATTCTGTCAACTTGGTTATGTTTGGCTCGAATGATTTCTGTTTGGTTGTTTTCGCACCGATTACCGTTTGCTTTTGGCCACTGGTCTAGGGCAAAAAGCTGCAGAGGAGTGTGCAAGGAGGGGCACGGAGAGGTGAATGTTTAGAAGTATACTTTGTAAAATAAAAAGGAACACTTGGGATTCGAGAACATACGCAAGTTAGCAACATCTTATGGTCTGCCAAGAGATGATGGCCAGTGGTTGAGACTAACGACGGAGTGCCAGGCGACGGAGGGAGGGAACACGCTACCGTGGGCTTTTGCATCGTAAGACCATGGAGAGATGGCGATGGCTTGAGGAGGGCTTCATCCAGCAGTGGATAGATCGTGGCTGATGATAATGACGACTTTCACAGGAAGGTGGATTTATGCCGGGTTCAGAGCTAGAGCCAATAAAAGTTATCATCTCAAATGACAGACAAGTGGCTTCCGTCTCCGAAACGACACCTTCAGCACTGCCACCTGAATTCTAATCTACCACCTTTCCACCTCGTTCCTCACCTGCAGGATGGCCACCTCGTTCCTCAGCTGGCTCTCCTCCTTCGTCGGGAAGCGAAGCTTGTCGATGATCTTGATTGCGACGTCGCGGCCCGTCTTGCGGTGTTTACCTGGCGGATTCGAGGCAACAAATCGGTCGGCGGGCCGAGCGACACACGCGTCGGGTTCACCGTTGCAGGGCGCAACGGTGAACCTGGGCACCTCCGATCTAGTTGTCCTTCCCCCGCAACATCCAATTAGCACGGTTGGCTACGTACGGTGCGAAAAGAAGTTCAACATACATGCACCCAGAATTCGGAGCTCGCGACTGCGCGAGCAGATGACAATCGATCGCAAAAACACATTCCACTCAGGGTGTGCAGATGAGATGTAACACGCGCGACTTGAGTTGTGGCCACGGTGGCACGGATGGACCAAGACGAGATCGCCCTGAAACATGCCCGATCTTGTCGGACCTCTAAGTAAGTTGGCTTCAGGCCTTGTTAGTTAGTTAGTTACTTGGGTGACAGCAGGCTGCCTGGGAATAGCAGGTGCTGTAAGGCTTGGGCTGTCAGATAGCAGAGGAAAAGATTCATAGCCCTGTCTGTACGGAATGCGGTGGGGGGGCGCGATCTGGACACCCCGGTTTCCTCGCGAAAGCCAAACACGCGTTGGTAAAAATGGAATTGGGCAGAAAAAAATTATTGAGACTCTTTTGAGTAGAAAAGGGAATTCTTATTTATTCTAAATAAGTGCATTATTTATTATAAATAAGTGCATTAATTATTATGGATGTTTGATCGTGACAATAATTACAATGCACATTTGGATGAGTTGGGGGAGGGGGGGGGATGTTGACTGACCCGGCAGGTAAAACATGAAGCAGATAAAATATAAACATGGTGAGTAGAGATGTAAAGCGTGAAGAATGAAGGGAGGTCAAATGTAATTCATCTTAAGTGAACGCACAGAGGAGATTACTTGGCTGTCTGCGGCGATAATGAAAGTCACAGCGAGTGACCGTCACAAGACCGCTCGAAGCAGCGTGCCGCCAACGCTAAAAATCGAACAAAAAGCGAGAGGGAACAAGGCAGCAGCTGACTTTCTGCGGTGTGGAGAAAAGGGGAGGTGCTTTGGGGCTAAAAGCAGAGGCCTTACCCCCGTACACGATGCCAAATTGGCCCGATCCCAGCACCTCGTCTGGGAAAATCTGATAGATGCTGCCAATGTCCTGCACACCAACAAAGCAAAGTTAGACACAGGCACGCGGATAGATAACAGAGACAAAAATCCCAACACCCCTCACCCCCCTCCCCTCCCCAGAGCCTTTAGCAGCATCTCGGGGCAAGTGCTTTTAGCGAGCAGCTCCAATTAGCATGGTTGGCTACGTACGGTGTTAAAGAAGTTGAACATAGGTACATACAAACTAAAAGGCTGGCAATGCACGAGCAGGTGTGGCCGAACTTCAAACCCAGCCGTGTTTGGCACTGCAGTGCTAATGCTTACGCACCACAAAAGGCACTAATTTTGTGGTTGAGTCGACCTAGGGGAGGCCAGAACTGGGTCTGACGTCTGACGTCACGTCAGTCAAGGTCGGGGAAACAAACCGAGGGTCATCCACTTCGGGGCGCCAACTACTACTCCTTCAACGTCTGCACGGTGGGTATTCTACTCGTTATTTGAGACATGAATACATGATCATTTTTGACGTGTAGATTTTTTTTTTAAGGCCAGTGGCTCCAATTGACCGTTGCGGATTCATATTTTAAAGCGGACTTCTGTAAGTATTGTAGGATGCCCCCCCCGCTACCCGCCATGATGCACATAGACGTGCCGACTCCGACGCGATCGTTAACGTCGCACCGTCACTCACCACGTTCTCCTGTATCTGACAGTTTGACATGGAGAAGCTGATGCAAACTTCCTCTGTTGCGTCAAAAAACACACAAAAAAATTGCCATTACTTCACACGTTGTGAGGCACATAAATAAAATCACATGTCTCTGTATTTAACAGTCAGGCCTGTCAGGCTGAACGTACTTCCTAAACTATTCAAAATGCTTTACTTCACCGGGTAAGACTGAATGAGCTATAATAGCTCTTTTTCAGAGGAGACCTGGTCACAAAAGACAGCTCAACCAAGTGGAAATTTACAGAAGGCGAAATACTCTAAAGCGCACGTTTATAAATGTGGAGGGGAAAAACCGGAGGACACGGAGAAAAATCCACGTGACCACGGAGGGAGAGAGACACGCAAACTCCAAATATACAGCGGGCGTCAGGGCCGGGGTCGAACCCACAGCTATGTTGCTTAGTTGGTAGAGAAACAGAGCATGTCTGTAATTCAAACATTTTGGGAGGGCAAGGGCTGTGGATCAGGACGTGGAGTTAGGAGGTCTCTCACCAGTCCACGGAGTTGCAATATGGCCACGAGATTGTTTTCACGTGTTTTTTGGCATTTTGTTTACCTTTCTTGGACTTTGCCATGTTTCTGTTCTGTTTGTTGTTGTCACGTCCTTACCCCGTGCCCCTAATGGACAAGAGCTTAATAGCTCAGTACGAATATTCTGATTTAGGTGGGTTCATAAACCTGTATATGCAGAACTTTAAACGTTATTGGCTCGAATGCATGGTGTTTTTTTCTTATTTTCCCTGTGCTCCTATTTCCAGCTACACATGAAACGCTTCTTAAGAAGCAACTAGCAAAAAATGCTCTTGCCAGACCCTCCTGTAAAAAAAAGTCTGCAGCACAACTTGAAAAACGTAAGCAGTAGCCCTAACGAGTATTGTTCCGTCACTACGCAGCCTTCAACTCCACCACCCCCCACCACCTCCCCCGCCCCCCGCCCCCCGCCCCGTCGCGCCGCTCACTCTTCTTCTCGCTGCGCTGGTTGTGCCCGGCGGCGCCGGCCACCCCGGCCTGCGACGTCACGGGCATGAGGGCCTGGCGGATCGCCATCTCCCACGCGCGCGCCACCTCCGCGCCGACTCCCGTCCCCGCCTGCGGCTGCCCGGTGCTCTGGCCGAGCCCCTGCCACTGCACCCGGCTCTGCCCCTGCTCCGGTCCCTGCGCGGCATTGGCGGCTGCGGCGCTGGCGGCGGCGTTGGCGGCTGCGGCGTTGGCGGCGGCGTTGGCGGCGGGGGCCGGGAGCGCGTCCTTCTCGCCGACGCAGTAGACGGTGCTCGCCGTGTGCAGCTCGAAGCAGTGCGGGGTGTTGTGCGTTCCGAGCGGCACGTAGCTCTGGGCCACTTCTATCTGCAGCACCTCGGAGAGTGGAATTTTCTGCGAGGGAAGAGGAAGGGCGTTGGGGAGGGGAAGTAAATAATTTTGTTTTTAACCGGTGGGGGATAGGCGATCGCCATGTCAGCGCCATTTGGAGCCAAGATGGGCAGTTCCACAAATTAGTCAACCTCACGGAAAACACATTTAAAAATCATCCTAAATAGTACTTACAGAGTATGATATGTTGCACGTCATTTTATCTGTAGTTTTAGAAGATTTCTTATTTATGAAATAGCTTGTATAAACCGAATTCCTTTTGTACTCACATAAAATAAAAATATGATTTAGTCATTGTACTATTGTCGTTCCCAAACCACATTATTGTTCTAATTGTATTTATATGTAGTCCAAGAGCCAGAGCAGGATTCAGTTCCACTAGAGGTGGCAAATATTTACCGATACCTGTTTGTATTTGCGGACATATAAAAGTACACTAAGTGATAACGTACTTATTATTGCATAATTCAATTCTCATGAGGATTTAAAGATTATTGGTACAATTAAAGTTTTGTGATCTCAGGTGGTACGTATCAATAAGTGAAGCATTTAGGGCACGTGGACTATTTATCCCTATTCCACAGTACATCTAACTAACTTCTAACTTTTTATTTTACCAGGCAAGGCCCACTGAGCCTACGTAGCTCTTTTTTCAAAAGCGAACTGGCCACAAACGATAGCTCAACGCAAGTGGCTTATCACGTGGAAATGTAATCGCGTCCAAATGGTCTAAACGCACGTTTCTAAATGTGGAGGGAAAAACGGGGAGTACCTGCAGAAAAATCCACACGACCACAGGGAAGAACACGCCAACTCCAAATATACAGGCGTCGTCAATTTCGGGATAGAACCCACGACCCCCTGCATACCGAGCAAGGGAGTTAACATCTTTCCATGTGCTGCCCTCCTACCTTGTAGTACTTGCTGCCAGATTCCGACTGGAAGAGCGTGATGCACTTGCAATCCAGCCGCCAGAAGTGCCTCTTCCTCTGTGGAAATCAATAACAAAAAAAATCAAGACAATTTACGTAAAGACAAAGATCCTCCGTATTGGCCGTAAAAGACTGTTGGGGAAAGTGCTGTTAGCGAGCACCTGTGAAGGCGGGCACGGCACACGAGGGGGTGGTTGGCAAACATCATGCCTGGCCGTCTGCCTACCCAATGCTGATGTTTAAACACCGCACCAGGTACTCATTTAAGGCTGAGTCACCCTACGGGGAAGGCGCAGGACGGGTTTGAGCGGTAGTGTAGTGGTTAGCACACTGCTCTACAAACACGGCGACTGGAGATCGATTCACACTCCGAACCAATATCGGACAATTTACACAGAAACACAAAGATCTCACATACATCCATACAGTCTGTTGGCGACAAGAGCTGATAGCAAGAACCTGTTAAATCTGGTACAGCCCACGTGGAGTTGTGTGGCCAACACAACATTCGTCTGCCTTCATCTCCCCAGTGCTGATGTTCATGCGCTGCACCCAGCACTCATAGCCGAGGTCATCATCATCATCAGCCATTATCAATCCTAGCTGCCACCATCTCTCAAAGTCCTGCAATGCTACAATCCACCTAGCAAGTACACACAATCTGATTTACAGCCAAGGTACACATCTAAAAAATGTGATTCTCTCATATTCAACCCATCAATTTAACTTCTAAAGCAGTCAAACGTTTAGGCCACGCCTCCTCTGGGGGGGTAATTATAACATCGCGTGCCCATGGGCTATAGGTACGCATTGGAGTTTCAAATTTTCCATTGTATTTGCCAGCTTGTTTCGGCTGGTATTTTAGGGAGGATCTCAAATTCTCAGGGCAGATTTAACTCTTATAGTAAGTGAACACCGCTCAGACCGGACAACGCAAGGACGGTCGAAGGGACGGGGCTGGTGGGGCAGGACGGGCCGCGGGTCACGCGCCACAGGGCAAGCGCCGGTCTGCCTCACCATGTTGTCCTTGTCGGTGAAGTGAACCATCCATCCTTCCTGGAGCACCGCGCTATTCTTCCACGAGGTTTGCTTGAATTTCTGAGAGACGCGCATCAGCGGGATGTTGTTGCTGATGGTCAGCCTGTAAGCGGGGGGCGCGACAGGTGAAGAGATGCGGCGGTAATGTCATCAACATTTTCGGGTCTCTGGCACGGAGTGCGAATAATTCACGTTGCGTTCGCTGGATTTGCGTCTTCAACAAACAACGCAGCTTCTGTGAATTGTTGCAAAACTGAGAGGTGGGATGGGTAGTTGGGCGAGCGAGCGGGTGAGCGAGCGGGCGACTCACGCAATGGGTTTCATGAGGTCTTCGTCGCCGTCTGCGTCCACGTCGGCCATGTGGGCGTCCGAGATCAGGAAGCGCGCAGCGGGCACGGACGAGAGCGAGGAATCGTCCATGTCCTCCTCGGGGAAGGAGCCCGACGCGTCGCCTGTACTACCGTCGTCGTCACCGCTCTCCTCCATCACCACGTCCGGACTCGACGGCTCTGCGCACGCGCCAACACAAAGATTCCTCCCCACCCCTATATGGCCTACACAGACCGGTGGGGCACGTGCCGTTGGCGAGCGTACGCGAAGACTTGCGCGGCACGAGAGAGGGGGGTAAATGTGGCCAGAACCACCATCGGGCTCTCTCTGTCTCCAAAGTGTTGGCATGTGCACACCGCACCAGGTACTCATTTGTAAGGCGAAGCTGACATGAGGAGAGGCCCACGACCAGTTTAGATAGCACTTGTCACGGATTTTAACCATTTCTCGAAAACAAAGTCAAGAGCGCTGGATTCTGAGCGTAGGGCGATGACGACTACACTGCTGCTCTCTCTTGCACACACTCACAAAGATAAAGACAAAGACCCCCCGTATAGCCTTAACAGACTGTAGGGGCAAGTGCTGTTAGCGAGCACCTACGAAGGCCGGTAACGGTACACGAGGGGGTGGGTGGCCAGCACCACGCCTGACCGCCTTTGTCTCCCCAGTGACAATGTTGACACACCACACCAGGTACTCATTTGAGGCTGAGTCGACCTAGGGGAGGCCCGGGACCGGTTCAGATAATCGTCACTGGTGTTGGCCGTGAGCGGGAATCGAACCCGGGTCGGCAGGCTCATAGCGCAGTGCGCTAACCGCTACACGATCGCACACACTCACAAAGATCCCCCATATAGCCTTAACAAACTGTAGGAGCAAGTGCTGTTAGCGAGCACCTATGAAGGCCGGTAACGGTACACGAGGGGGTGGGTGGCCAGCACCACGCCTGACCGCCTTTGTCTCCCTAGTGGCAATGTTTACACACTGCACCGGGTACTCATTTGAGGCTGAGTCGACCTAGGGGGGAGGCCCGGGACCGGTTCAGATAATCGTCACTGGTGTTGGCCGTGAGCGGGAATCGAACCCGTGTCGCCGGGTTCATAGCGCAGCGCGCTAACCGCTACACTATCGCTCCCCACACACACTCACACACACACACGTGTGGGCCCACAGCTCAATCCCCACACCCGAGGACATCGACTCAGCCACAACCACCAGGCGCCACAGAGAGCCCTCACCTCCGTTCCCTTCCCCATCTCCAAGGCAGTCGTTGCGCACTTTGTCAGCACACCGCTTGTGACAGTTGAATTTGCAATCTGCAGGCGATGGGGTCAACGCGCACACGACCACGCACACGTGCGGCCTCGTCAAAACTCTGCAGTTACCGACTTGTGTGAACTCTGACACGTCACCCGAAATCTATGATTGTCAAATGTCAATCACAGAATTAAAAACAGATCAACAAGTGAACTCATTACCCAGGACCATCTTTGCATCAGAATCGCAAAATTAAGTTTCGAGTTGTTAAAAAAAAAAAGAAGCAACGAACAAACGAGCGTAGCGGACGAATTGCGTTCACGATCCCAGAGCGACATCACAGCAGACACAGCGGCCCTCTCTGACCTTTGCATTGTACGCCCTGCCGAAAGAGGCCCTTGAGCAGCCGCTTGCAGGACTGGCAGACGGTGGGGCGCGTGTAGGAGCGCACCTCGAACGTGTGCGGCACCTTCACCTTGGTGGCCACCACCCGGTCCACCCACACGGGGCGTCCACTCCACGACGGGGGCCGCTTGCCCCCCCACAACGGCGACGGAGATTCCGTCGGAGCCCTCTGCGCCCGTCACCCGCCACCGCCGTCGACATTGTTACAGCGCGTCGCAACGTCGAGGGGTCCCTCGACGACTCGCTCCAGCCGCGCGCTTCCCCCGGCGGTGGCAGCCGGGTCAGTCGCCCCTGCCCATCGCTCGTCCCGCGCTACTGTTCCCGTGAATTTAAAACTGTCACTCCGTTTGGCACATCAATCTCATATGGCGTGTCACGGATCGTTTTCGAGTAAAATCGGGACTACACGCACGCCTGTATTTGTCACATGCACAGTACTCATATATTGTACTCATGTGTACACGTTTCCCTAGATTCATGTGGGCTTGGTTTGTGCGAATCCACGTGTATGCGTCTAACCCATTCTACCCAAAATTCGCTTTGTGATGCAGTTTGAATTTACTCAGACGAGCGCTATTCGGTCGGACGTGGGACAACATTGTGTGCGTGTACTGTGTGTGTACTGTGTGTGTACTCTGTGTACAATGTGTACTGTGTGTGCCACTCGGCAGACAGGGGTCTCGCCCTTTTCTTGGAATGCATCTACCGCATAAAGCGAGGGAAACCTGCGCTTACGTGTATGTAACACACGTACAAGCATATTGCATTTGTAACATAGATGTACTTAAAATAAACGAATCTAACTGAAGAGGCAGAATTCTGCCAAATATCCCAATGGAGGGCAGTCCTGGAAACAGTTTTAAGACTGAAGGTGAAGACCTTTTTTTTGCCAGTTTCGAAGGATGAAAAAATAAGAATAGGTTTTACCCATTCTGGAAATAAAACAGGTTGTGTTCAAAAACCAAATAAAAAAACCTTTTGCAAGGAATCATGTCCGCATTGACCACACACAGTACTTGTGGTGAACTTGCAAACAAAAACATGCTCCGATAATATATCCATCGTCTTCGAAACTGACTGGCCCACACCAGAGACGGCATTCCTTAGGGCCTAGTCTCAACCAGTGTCAGGTGGGCAAATCAGTTTCGAAAGGACAAAATCTATTCTTATTTTTTTAATAATTAGGGTGAAGCTTTGTATTGTAAATAAATGACAAATAAACGATTTCCTTTTGAAAGGTCCTCAAAGGAAAAGGATGAGACGGTAGTCAGAGCAGCTTGAGGTCAACAGAGTTTAGGTTAAACAATAAAAAGTAAGGCATGATAAATTCCCGCGTTTCGATTTTTTATAAACTGAACACGTGATCCTAGGTAACACATATTCAATGTGGCCACCTGTACTGAACACGCTTAAAATCATACATACAGGAAAAGCCTGTGACCAAATCACGCAGAATACTCCCAATATCATTCGATGTCGGTAGCTAAGCAGGGCTTAAGCCTGGATAAACAGTAGTCTGACAGCAGGGGGGTGATGTCTAAGCTTATTTTCTTACGCACCGTACGCAGCCAACCTTGCTAATCGAGATCATTCTTCCATGGGTGGAGTCATACTGCTTATAATATAATTTGTGTTCAAATAATAGGTAGTATTCTAACCCCGTGGTCTAAATCCTATCTTGCACGAACCACTGCACACCTCCACCGCGTAAGAACAAGAACACTTATCGTGCCGTTAAAAAAGCAGCTCGCCCTCTCGATGCCACGGCGGTCGGCGCATTCTCGCGAGGGCAAGCGAGTGTTAGTGTGGGGGTGAAAGGGTCGCGATTACCTTGGCGAGATCAGCGAGGCAGAGGGAAGGGCAGGAAGCCCCGCAGGCAGAGTGACAGACTAGAGGGCAGGAGGGCAGCGAGGTGAGGCGGGGCAGGCGACAACACGGGGGGTGGGGGGGGGCAGACACAGCTGAGAGGCAGCACACAGAGAGAGCGGGAGGAACAGGAGACCCATGCGGATCCGGCGTGAAGACGGAGCGGAGTGAAAGACGACAGCAGGAACGAACCCGGCTCACGGCGTGTGAAGTCGCAGAAGCCGAAACAAAAAGGAAGGGGTGTTTAAAATGAACTCGGCTCCAACCGTGGCGACTTCAACCGGCATAGATTATGAACAAGCCGAAAGCGACGTTGGTTGGAACAAGATGATAAAAAACAATGTACGTGAATATAAATCGAATTAAAACAAAATCTGGCGCGAATTTTACCTGGTTCCAAAGTACGCGGCATAAAAACGTAAGCAACATGGCGTGAACTGAGATAGACGCTTGCGCACGCCACGCTAATACGCGTTCACTCTCTTGAATAAAAGTTAACTTCGGACTCGCTGCTCCATACTACCTAAGCAGTGGGTTGGTGGATCATTACTGTAACACATGCTACTATTATTATTCTTGGTTCTTTCGGTAAAGTCACGTAGAAGGGAAGCAATAAAATAATAAAAATATAAAACAATAAAATTCTCACGATGTTTCGACTGCAACACAAGCAATCATCATCAGACTGCTTGCGTTGCAGTCGAAACGTCGTGAGAATTGTATTGTTTTATATTTTTATTATTTTATTGCTTCTCTTCTACGTGACTTTACCGAAAGAACCAAGAATATGAATCCCCTGCAGTCACGAAAGCTTTAAATAAAAATTTAACATCCTACTATTATTATCATCCCTTCTAGTGACATGCCCTGCCGGAATCAATACGACATCTGTAACTTGCATTTGTCAGCTTGCGTTCCGTTGCACCGTGTTTCTAATCCATGCGTCACAGTGGGGAATGTTCAACAATTAGAAACTTTCTTTTGTACGCATGGATGTTGACGTTTGGCAGGAAAAACCCACCGGGCTCTTCCATTACCACAGACATCGACCCACACCGCATACCAGCTCACCGGGCAGATGTCCTCTCGGCTCGGCGAGATGTTGGATGGGTGTCGCTTGCGAACGCCGCTGCAGTTGTTTGGGATCTTGAAGGCGCAGCGTTTGTGGTAGTTGAGACCACAGCCTGCGGGGCAAAGCGGTTGTCAATATGGGCAAAACTGAAATAATGACACAAACACGCATGTACACACTTACGTGCAGGGGTTAAAATGCATTACATTGCCTGCAACCAAATCACTGCAAAAAATGCATAAGATCTTGTCAGAACTGAGAAGCTGAGCTGCGTTAAGTCTGATAAATACTTGAATGGAAGACTGCCAGAGAATACTAGGTCCTGTAGGCCAAGGCTGCATTGTGGCCAACAGATGGAAATGATCTGTGCGCAGCTTTTCTCGAAACAGGTTTCAACCTTACAGGGGCTAATCAGCAAAATAAATACTTGCTTGCCAAAAAACACTGCCGTTCCGCCAGATGTCATTGGTAAGTGCTCTCTGACTTTTTCAGATCAAAGATCAAGATGTCACGATGGCCTGAAACCGTTGATGCCACCACACCTCACCAAGTCTATCAACCCCCGACGCCAGATCCTTCCGCAGCTGTCACACAGTAAGACACGCGACCTCCGAGGGTCTGCTCCAATGGCACCGTCCGCTCTCAGGGTCTTTCCCTTCGGTCGCCGGACTCGCGAGGACCGTTCCAACGCCCATTCTCCGTAACCGTCCGCTGCCCCCGACTCCGTCGCGGCCCTGTGAGGCGGCCGGCGAAGCGACCGAAGCCTCCTCGTCGAAAACGGGCCGCCAGTCACCTTCGCACTTGAGGCCCTGCCGCACGAGGCCCCACAGCATCTCGCCGCAGTAGTCGCAGAACGTGGGCGACTTGTACGAGTGCACGAAGAGTGCATGCGGCCGGATCTGGATGTCTTCAAGCGTCGCCGAGGCTGGGGCAGAAACGAGCGGGGGGGGGGGGGGGGAAGGGGTCGCGCGAAAACAACCACGAGCGGCGTCACCTGATGCGTCACGATTAGCTCGGGTCAAAATTCAAGGTCGCCAAATAGCTCCAGGACTAGACGAGCGATATTAAGTCGCCACGTGACGAACCCGTCGGTTAAAATGAGATGCTCATGGTACACGTATGGAGTCGTGCGCACGAGAATTTTTTTTTTATTTTAATTGATGAATGGTTCTCGATTTTTTTTTATAATAATATATGTTGCATACACGCATGCCACAGTGGTTAGCGCAATGTATTATATTAACAACCGGCCGGCACAAGTCCGATTATCAGTCACGTCTAACATCAGTGGAAATTATCCTACCCGGTGCTGGGCCTACCCCGTAGGTAGACTTAAGTCTTGATGCGTACCTGGTTGGTTGTACAAAAACTGCCTCCATGCACTCTACCAGCCTTAATAGGTGCTCAATTACAGCACTTGCCCCACGGTCTGTACGGTTATATAGAATGCTTTTGTGTGTGTGTGTACGCATTTGTGTAGTCCAGCTCTCTTTTTTGACTCTGCCTCACGTAAATATCCTTCACAACAGTGTGTTTCCCCCGCGTCTTTTTCTTGAGCTAGATCTCACGGTCGAGACATATGGAGCCGCACTGATGTCGCGATTGGCCTTGTTATCGTGCGTGTGTGCGCGTCTTAACAAGTGCACGCGATCATCACTCTTCCCAACGGTCTGAATGGCTATGGGGGGCGGGGCGCGGAACTCTCCTTTGTCTTTGTGTGTGAACAGAGGCGAGACCGGCACGCGCGCGCACACACACACACACCTGATAAGACCACCTCTATAAGGTCGCCCTCCTGCACGCTGTCGCTCGGCGTGAGCAGCTGCAGGATGTTGTCCGACTGCAGGTTGTGTCGGAAGAGAAGGATCTTGTCGTACATCCCGAAGAAGCCGCACTCTGGGAACTGCCGCACGCACAGCAACAGCACGGATCTTTCATACGGCCTTTGACGGACTGCGGGGGGGGGGGGGCTCAGTGCCATGAGCAGTTAAGGTCGTCACAGCGCACAAGGCGGTGTGGTCGGCAGCATGCCCCGACCAACTTTGACTCCCGAGTGCCGATGTTTACACACAGAACCAGGTACTACTCATTCCAAGCAGAGTTGACCTCGGCAGAGGGCCAGGACCGATTCGTATATTTGCCACGGACGTTAGCCGCCGCCGGGAATCGAACTCAGGCTGCCAGGATTGAAAAACACAGTACACTAAGCAATGCAGGACCGCCGCATCCAAACGTTGCTCTGTATATGGCGCGTGTAAAACTACACCACCATCACAGGCAGCAGAGCGGTGCAAGCCTGGAATCCAATACTTGAGACAAGGGGCAGTGCATCACACAGGTTTGTGAAAGTAAAGACTCCCGATATAAAGCCGTGTAAGCGATCACTAGATGACATTACATCAAACTGATTATATATTGAACCCGTCTGTGCAGAGCTTTGAGCGTTATGCCTTCTTAAGAGTAATGGGTTTTCCCCCCTGATTAAGCCAAACAGCCATTAATGTAACTGGCCAAGAATTCCAATGTGGGATCTTCTGAAAACAAGAGAGCCTTGAGACTCACCGAGCCTGTGGAATAAATACAGAGTATTATAAAATACCGGCTTTATACGAAAACTTTAAACACACATCGCTTAATAATGAATGCAACGCAATGAATTACAGTCAAGGGCTTTGAACCACAATGTTTGGCATGTTGTTCTCTGTAGTTTTATTACTCACAACCTAGAACTTGGCATGGACCCAACCACCCACTTTTACCATCACAACACCGTTCTACTCTTTCCAGATGTGAACACGGCCGCCCGAATATACCGACCGAGGCATTTTGCTGAAACGCAATACATTATTCTCGAATAAACTACGTCCAACTACAAGGGCAGCGGACTCTCTGTTCGTGTACTTTCTCAGTATTCTGGATTGACCTGTGTTAGATGAAAACAAGCTTGATCAAGAACACAGTTCCTCAAAAAAGTGAGTCATTTCTTGCTCAGATGAGCATTCAGAGTGTTGCTCAACCCCTCCTTACAGCCGTGAGCCAGGGCGCTGCAGTGGGGTAATGTTCAACCACCTTGCCTGGTACGCAGGAGGTCGTGGGTTCGATCCTGACTCTGACGCATGCATATTTAGAGTCCGCGTGTCTCTCTCCCTGTGGTCGCGTGGATTTTTCTCCGGGTCCTCCCGTTTTTCCCTCCACGTTCAGAATCGACATCACGGCGTTTAAGAGAATTTGGCTGCTATAAATCTCCACGTGAAAGGCCACTTCTTTGAGCTTTCATTTGTGACAGCCGAGTCTGAAAAAGAACTATATAGCTCAGTGGGGCGCCTTACCTGGTGGCATAAAATAAAACGGGTTTTTTTTTTAAACGGTCGAAATTCCACCACTGCAATCGAGAGGGCGAATCTCTCGTCAGGGCAAGCACTTTGGACTTCACCACCAATTGATAATAATTTTACGGATTGTGCAGGGATGAGGAGCTTGGGCAACCCCCCAAGCAGAGCTTTAACTCGAAACCTTTCGATCGTTCTGGCCAATAATTATGGCGCCGAGACGCCTGGGCAGGTCTCTACCATGGCTTATTTTAAGGAATTTATTTTTTATAGGGCTCTGTCAGTTATTCACGTAAGTATACAGCATGGTGTTACAGGGTACACAACAAAAGTTACAAAGCTGGATGCAGAGTTATGGTTACTATTCTTATTTCATTACTATTTTGTAGCTTTTACTTGAGACAAAGTCGGATTAACAAGAACCACCTTGGTCGTCACGTACAGTTAAAACACGCCTTGGTTTCTACAAAAATGAACCAAAACAACTTTCACTTTTCATCTTGTTTCCCCATTGTTGTTACGATCATGCAATCAGCACCATATCACTCACTGAAGACTACGCTCTGAACTCTGTCGTGCAGCGCTTCATCCTGCGCCAGAGCACGACCCGTGGAAGGAGATATCAGAGAACAACTTCTGAGAGCCCTTGAAGTGACCTCTTATCTACACTTATGGTGCTGCACTTTCCCACACGCCCCTGCTGCAGAGATACATGCTCGCCGCATGGAATATCCGCAACCGATGTTGTTTAATTCTCGGCTAAAATTTGTCTAGATCAAAATATGATACGTAAAAAATTGTATATAAAATTACTTTGGACCATGAAGTCTCTAAACTTGAAAACCTGGTTTAACCACAGGTAGCTAAAATCCAGAATCGATCTCAGGATGACTTCAAGAGATCTCAGACCGCGAGATCAGCACCCACCTTTTGTCAAACAGAACAGAGCATTATGGCTCACTGCAGAATGTTGAAAAGCTAGGTCTGAACCAATCGACAATGGATTATTCTCTTTTATGCAGAGCCACAAGACAAAGCAAATAGATAACATGGGCAAGAAGATTTCACAAATATGGAGGTGATAAATATTACACGGCAAGGAACACGCGCTGAACATCATCATATAGAGGAAAATCCGAACTGTGCGGCAAGAATGCTGAGGGCGACTTCTGAAGGCACGTCCTTGCGTGCCTTCGTCTCCCGCACTTCCGATTAGCACGGCCGGCCACGTGCGTTGCGAAAGAAGTTCAACGTAGAGCACATACATAACTTCACCTTGGCGATCGCTTACGCGAACCAAAAACGGCTCTCACAAATAGCGCGACTTTGCTCAGGACCGGCATGGCATCCTGAATGGTGGCGATTGGGTCGCGTGCAACCAGGTTAAAGAGAGGGGTGAGAGTGCGCCCTTTGCACTGGCGCGAGAGGATACGAGGAAATAGGAGCGGGGGTGAAGGGCGCGCCCGGCGACATCGAGGCTCACCGCCTGAATACGCCGCGGTAAACGTGCGTCGTTACTTGTTGACGCGGAGCCAGCGATCGACCGCAGTCACGCTGTCGTTATAACCTTCAGAGCAGAGATCGCACGTCGAGATGAAGACAGACAGAGCGCGGTGGCTCAACGCAGAATGTTCGTAGGCGTAGGCATATAAACGTTACGTTCCAAAGAGACGCTTAGAAAAGATGTTTGTGTCGCGGTATATATGTTAAAGACAAATAATGTTACCGTCATACTTTACATTTATTCAATTTCTCTGGTTTACTTCGGATAAGTGAAACTCCTGGACATCTATAAAATATAAAAAGAGCTTTATAGCTCATCTGATTCCTCCAGTATAAATAAATATTCAGATTCTAATATACAGATACGTACAAAATTCACATCAAACGACTCGGCAAGTGAGTGAGGGACTACGTGATAGGCAGCAGAGGGGAGTGCAGCAACATCAATTGCTCTCCTGTAATGCTAAAAAAGCTATTTTTAATCGACCAGGTAAGGCCCACTGAGCTATAAAACTCTTTTGTAGAAACGACCTGGCCACAAATAATAGCTCAACCAAGTGGCTTATCACGTGGAAATGTACAGCAGCCAAAATACTCTAAATGTGCGTTTCTAAACGTGGAGGAAAAAGACCACGGAGGACCCGGAGAAAAATTACACGCGACAACGGGGAGAGACACGCAAACTACAAATATACAGCAGGCGTCAGGGTCGGGATCGAACCCAAGACCTCCTGTATACCAGGCGAGGTAATAAACATCTTGCCACCGTGTTCCCACGCTTGTGCTTCTCTCCACCTTCTCACGCAGTGAAGTATGGTCAAATACATCCACCCCCCCCCGCCCACCACGACACACTGTGCGGCGAGGCCCTCATCTCGCGGTGGATTGAACAAAGCGCACTGCGTACGAACGATTCGTGTTGCTTGCTCTGGGTGATGTTTAATGCTCGCATCAAAAAGGGGCCATTGTAGACGGACGAATGAAAGAGACAAACGGGGGCGACACAACACAACGGCGGCGACTGTCTTGAACCCATGCCCTCTGACTCATCGTGCGTGCACTGACATTAAACGAATGACCTCACGCTGGCATGCACTGTGAGGGTGTGTTTGTTACGGAGGAAAGCAGTACGACAAAAAAAGTCATTGTTTGAACTGCAGCGATAATCGGAGCTCCGCAACTATCCCACCATGGCGGCTCATGTTCACCGATTACGAACAACATCGCCTCATCGAAAGACGATCAATTCTCACGAGCGCCACTTGATCCGTGCATCGTGAGCACAAAGGATACATGTTAAATCGACCCCACTGTCACGTGCCATTTTGACTCAAACGCCAATTTGCATTGTTGTTGCCCTCCACGGGCGTGCATTCGCATAACACGCGAGGCTTCGGACATCAACCACCTGTGGCAAATGCCCTTCGTGTGAAACGAATTGCGATATTGCGGCAACCGCAAGCACCGTGGCCCAAGCGTCACTTGTACTGTGTACAGCGACAAGTACCATGGCCCAAGCGTCACTTGTGCTGCAACAAGTACCATGGCCCAAGCGTCACTTGTGCTGTGTACAGCAACAAGTACCGTGGCCCAAGTGTCACTTGTGCTGCAACAAGTACCATGGCCTAAGTGTCACTTGTGCCGTGTACAGCAACAATCACCATGGCCCAAGCGTCACTTGTGCTGCAACAAGTACCATGGCCCAAGCGTCACTTGTGCTGCGTACAGCAACAAGTACCGTGGCCCAAGTGTCACTTGTGCTGCAACAAGTACCATGGCCCAAGCGTCACTTGTGCTGCAACAAGTACCATGGCCCAAGCGTCACTTGTGCTGCGTACAGCGACAAGTACCATGGCCCAAGCGTCACTTGTGCTGTGTACAGCAACAAGCACCATGGCCCAAGCGTCACTTGTGCTGCAACAAGTACCATGGCCCAAGCGTCACTTGTGCTGCGTGCTGCCACAAGTACCATGGCCCAAGCGTCACTTGTGCAGCGTACAGCGACACCGTTCACTCAACAACGCTGCCACGTTATTTTACGATCTCATGCCTTCTACCTTTGTCTTTTGGG